TGTTTAAGAGTGAGTTAGGATGATAAAAGTCGATTATTACCCCAAAGGACATAGCTTCTTCATCAGCGTACAAGTTCGGCTGTTTCTTGTCTCTGTAACACCACCTCTTCCCAAGGCTGGATTCGGTGAAGGAAATGGCTCACTGCCCATCAACTAGCGGTGTAATCTTTCTACGGTGGTGTAAATTTATTCATGTACTCCAACAAAGAAAGCCAAGGTAATCAGTCTTGGAAATGACCTATTTGTGTCTAAGAGGGGTTTAAAATTTTCTTTAAAAAAAAGATTGTACCACTTGTTGAAGCCAGGTCGTAACCTTCCAGTTCTCCTTCATCTAGGCGATTCCAGAAGTCGGTGTGGGTCGAGCCTATACAAGTGGATTACTCCAAGAGTCTTTTGGTCTGTCTCCCTCATGGTGTTCCTGCCTAAACGAATTACTAAATACAGCAGGACGCCGGTTAGAACGGAGTGTCTTTCTATTGACCGGGGAAATAGGCCGGTCCTCTTGACCTATTCCTCAATTGGATTAGACAACCAGCAACGACGGTGCAAGGAACCAGGAAGAGATACTCTACCTCATCCTAGACTCTGGCGTCTCTTCTGTATTTCTGTCTCGCTGGACACAACCGGAGACACACCTTTCAGATTGACCGCTCTCTGTTGGCTTCTTTAGGTTACACAACACTAAGGTTTGATACTAAACACCTCCCTGGAAAATGTTGTCTTGAGTAGAAATTATTTGACTCTCACACTGAAGATACGGCTAAAATGGCTTGACTGGCAACTTTTGAAGGGTTGGATTTGTAGAGCGTAGGGATAGCAGTTTTAACAAAATCAGGTTAGGTGTAAGCATAGAAAGCTGAGTTATTTAGGTAAGGTATACCATAAGCACATCTGCGTATAGAATGGCCTTAAGCAATATTTTGACAATATTGTGCAAGTTAGATATTATCTATATTATGCTTCGTAATATATTTGGAATTAGGGTTGCCTTATATAGAACGTCTACTTATATGAGTTGCGTGTTCCCTCAATAGTAACACGTAGGGGTCGTAAGAGTGCCCGACTGTGTGTGTTTTGGGGGGGTGATACTGTTGAGGTCCTGGAATGTTCCCTCGAAGATAATTACAAACGTCAAAGTATTTAGGGGTGACAACTCCCACGTTGTAAGAGACAGGGATCAATGGATTTTCCTCTAAGCTGTTTCTGTGACAAACTGAAAAATTGGGGCAGACAAGGACATCGTGATGGACAGAAAACATGATTCTTGAACCCTCTTTTCTCTCTTTCTTTCCAATTTTTTTCTTATTTTCCCATGATCTTATGATGACAACACGCGATAGCCTCCGACTCTTCTAAATTTTTACAACGAAAATAGTGCGCTATTAGTTCAGTTGGTATCATTTTGGGATGATGTGCGATGATTTAGCTTAGTGCTATCTTGAACAAATCCCATGTCTCCAGGTTTGAGACGTAAATTCCTGTGATAGCTCTGAATTCTAATCGCGAGAACGAGAGTTAGTACAAAATAAAACTAAAATTCAAAGAAAACGGGGATTTAGCTACAACAATTTTGGGCTCAGAAGGAAAGATTTTTCGACAGTCAAGACAGCTGTGACAAAATCTCACAGACGTCGGAAATTGGAGTAAGTACACGATAGCGCTCAGCTCTCGAATAGTATAGTGGGCCCAAATGAAACGTTCAGAGGGATTGTTTTTATAAACACAAAAACACCTACAATGCCTGCAATTGAAGAATCATTTAAAAGAAAACAATTTATATGAATTATATCAATCGGCCTATCGGCTATTTCATAACACAGAAACTGCGCTATTGAAATATATAACAACCTTTTGTGTGAAGCGGATGAGAACAAAATATAAATTCTTTCTCTTCTAGATCTTAGTGCTGCCTTTGACACAATAGATCACACTATTCTTATTGAACGATTGTTCAACACATTTGGCCTGTCTGGCAGGGTTCTTGACTGGTTCAGGTCCTGTCTGATTGGCCGTACACAACTGTGGTTTTACACGACTCTCTTTTGTCAATTTTTAAACTAGACTTTGGAGTGCCTCAAGGTTCAATATTGGGTCCAATCTTGTATACGTTATATACACTGCCGCTTGGAGCTGTGATCAGAAAGCACAATATGAATTATGACATGTACGCAGACGATACACAGTTATATACATCTGTTCCACCATCAGATGTTAAAACCTTGCTTACCACCATTGGTCTGTGCATTGATGACGTCAAAAAGTGGGTGATTGATAATAAGCTCCATCGTAATGAAAATAAAACAGAAATTATTTTATGTAACCCAAAGAAAAGTCATATTCCCATAAACATTGATCATATTTGTACTGAAAATGAAAAACTGTATTTTACTGATAAAGCAAAACATCTGGGAGTGTATTTTGATTCAAAATTGTCAATGGAACACATATCAATTATTGATGTACCATTTTATTTTGTGAATTGCGTAGAATTGGACATACGTCTATGTTTTTGAATGAACACTCGTTGAAAACACTCGTGTCATCTTTCTTGTTTTCACGCATCGATTATTGCAATACTTTACTTGCTAACTTACCAAATACCACTCTTCAGAAGTTACAACGTTTTCAAAATCATGCTGCTAGGCTTGTACTAAAGAAAAAGAAGAGGGATCACATTACTCCCATGTTAAGAAGGTTGCATTGGCTTCCCGTAGCATCATATAAAATTGTAATATTATGTCATAAATGTGTCAATAACAAAGCTCCCTCATATCTTAGTGATTCCATCCAGATTTATGTTCCATCTAGATCACTACGATCAGGCGATCAGTATCTTTTAAGAGTTCCTAGAAATGGGGATAAAAAATAAGCTGAAAGATCGTTTTCCCACCTTGCTCCATCAGTTTGGAACTCTCTTCCTCAACCCTTGAGACATAAAGCACCTGAGTTTAAATTTTAAAAATCTTTAAAGACGCATTTAATTACATCATTTTTATGTCAGTAGAATCATGTTCAGTACAATGTTATGTAAATGACAATGTATCCATATATGTATTTTGCGAATGGCATTGAGTATATTTTTTTTATTTTATATATGTATGAATGTGCTCATTTCGTAACGATGTGTAAGTGTGCGCGTGTGACAAGCAAGTAGTAGTAGTGTGTGTGTGTGTGTGTGTGTGTGTGTGTATATATAAGTGTGTGTGTGTGTGCGTGCGTGTGCGTGTGTGTGTGTGTGTGTGTGTGTGTGTGTGCGTGCGTGTGCGTGTGTGTGTGTGTGTGTGTGTGTGTGTGTGTGTGTGTTTGGCGTGCATGTGTGTGCACATGTGTGCGTGTAATGTGTGCGCGAGTGTGTGTGTTTGTGTGTGTATGTGTGTGTTAGTGTATGTGTGTGTGTGTATGAGTGTGTGTGTGCGTGTGTGTGTTGCGTGCGTGAATATTGTTCGTACATGCATTCATGTAAAGCGCCTAGAGCTGTGTTTACACGGGAGTGGGCGCTATAGAAATGATCTTCATTATTATTATTATTATTATTATTATTATTATTATTATAATTTTGGAGATGAGCGTTAAAATCGTATAATGATCTATTGAACCGCCTCACAGTGTTGATTAGGCCTTTCGAGATGTTTTGACAGTTTTCCATATTAAACCATTACAATCGTCAACACTGAAAATTTTCTTCTTTCTCAGTATGCCGATAGCTCACTTGATAACATGCTAGGCTGTTTTGGTGACTCTATTCCAAACATGGGTTGCTTGGGAAATTTTCAAGGTTTTCAACCCACTTAGCGCGGTTTTATCAGTGGAGGAAGATTATTTGGAATGCAATCTATTGAATAAACTTAGTTTTGAAAAGGGAGGGTGTCATATTATTACGTTATTATAACTCTTACTGTTAACGTTTAAAAAAGTCCATTGGACATAAATAATAATAATAATTGCATTTATATAGTGCACATCCATGCTCAAGAGCATGCTCTATGCGCTTTGCAACTATTATTACCCCAGCAGACCCTCTGAGAACACTCGGAAACATCCTCAGCTTCCGCGGAAGCATACAGTGCAAGCTGCTGATTCCATGCGCTCAAACACTATCAAACTGACAAGATCGTTCACTGTCTATAGCCGGGTACCCATTTCCACCTGGGTGAAGTGAGGAACATTGGTACAAAGTGCCTTTCCCAAGGACACAACGTCGGGCCCCTGACGGGATTCGAACCCACGACCTTACGGTTGCGAGTCCGAGAGCCTAACCACTAGGCCACCGACACCTCTAAGATCACTGTATTTAGTTTTCTTCACACTATCATATTTTCTATGATGTTGTTCTGACTAAGGTCTGCGGCTCCAAATTTGTCAAGTTTTCCTTTTTTTTCTTTTGGCCGAGCTTTGACCCCCTTCTAATAACAAAGCTCTTTCAATAGCAACTTATCAATGTTCACATTTCATTTCCATATCGACACAATAAGAGTGCAATATATAGAACCCTGCATGTTAGAACCAAAAAAAACACCTTTCGATATGATAAGATCATATTACTTGCCCACTTTGGGTCGAACTCACGCCTTGGGGTCGACTACTTAAAGTTTATAAATGATGTCAATTGTGGCGTGAAACGTCTTATAATTATTAAATCAAAATTGTACTTACGCAGACAGGCTGAAACACGCATAATTTTTGCTTGGGATGGGTGTGTCAATTTTACATAGTAGGTTAGATATTTGCCATGTGAACCGTATGCAATCGCCGTTAGAATCAACCGGGACTATAAAGAATGATTTCCAAAACCGTCTAGTATAAACGTGCTCAGTCCTTTGAAGCCAAACGTTGACATGTGACTGATACCGCTTAGACCTCTGCATATGCGTTGAAAGGGTTGATAGGCAAAGTCATGACGTATCTATTGGGCAAATCTTACTTTGATTTAACCTACAGACGTCTTTGCTAGAATTAATGATCGATGTTTTACATTTACATTTTTCTTCCTGTCCTTTCAGATTGTATCAACTGTTGGCGACGGAGAGACATGTAGAAGCAAATTCGGGAACTTCCGCCCGGAAGAGTTCCGTCTACACGCATGCGCCTGGTGCTACCGCTACATGACACAGTCCATGGACTTTGGGGTGCACCCAACCATGCACTACCTAGTTGTAGTCAATAACCTCACCATCTACCCGCAGTGGACAATCCTTGTCCCAGACTCTGAGAACGCCACTCTGGCTGCTTTAATCTGCCAAACAACATCGTCAGGTATTGTTTTATCAGCCTATTGTATATTTTTATACTGCTAGTATAATTGTATGTATAGTAGTATAGTATAATTGAGACAAAAAGAGAAAGAGAGGCAATAGTATTAGTTTTATGTGTATCACATTTTATTGTATACTGATGATAGTCCACTGTACCCGATGTTAAAAATGTGCTCCTACATCTCTCCACACGCTGTTCTTTCCCTTTTTCAATATCTGATCACCCGCGGCCTGTTCAACGTCACCGAATACAAATTAGATCAGTAGGCATGGGGTAGCGGATAGAGAATATTTGCTGACAAGTGTACTGAGGGACATGCCCACTCAAGTATTGCCTTGAGTGGTCAAAATAGTCCGTTTCAAATGGATTCATAAGTATTATTATATTTATAATTTCCAGAGCACTTCCAAAGATTAGAAAAGAAAAGATTCTATCGCATTCGGCAAATTTTTAATGTCTCGAAGTGTGATTGATGTCATTTTGCTTTTGGTACATGGCCGTTCTTCTTGCTGTCACTACTGATGTTGCTGATGTTGTTCTAGTTGGCACTGCTGTTGTTGTTGCTGCTATTGTGGCTGTAGTTGTGGGGGCGGCTGTGGTTGTCGTTGTTGTCACTATTCAGTCCAAACGACACATTTGCTTAGACCTAATACTGGCTTTTGATTTTACCATTTTGTTCCGTTCTTTGCGTGTTTGTCTGTATCATAGTGGTATAGATCAGCTACATCATGAGTCCTTAATGCCTTGTCGACTCACTTTATCGGAAGACATTTATTATTTTCTAGGCTTGCATAAAGTCTACCGGATGAAATAAAGTTAACCCTATCAGTCAACCGTCTGGCACAGCATTAAGCTATCCTGATTTGTCTGAGCGTTAGGTAGTAAATAGGCGTAAGTGATGGTGCAAGTGAGACGTACAGAGAGAAAGTGAGATAAGAAATGCTGGCATTGTTTTTATACCAATTTTAATCGTCTCTGGCTCTTCCAACTCCAGTTGGATTTTGAACTCCACCCTAACTCTTCCACGCCACACGTCTCATTTCTTAGCGTTTCCCATCTAATGTACTTTAAACCCTCCCCCCCCCCCCCCCCCCCCCAAGAATTGCATTGTATGCCGTGGTAATCATACAGCGTGGTCAAATAGCTCCAGACTGGAAATTTAGTTTTCTTATTTGTTATAATATCTTCTATCTACCCTCCTTTTTCGTATTTTTGAGGTTTGTTTTTACATCTATTATTTTGTTTTTGTTCTTCCTCCTCCCCCTCCACCCCCCCCCCCCCCCCCACACGTAGACTTGTGCATGCGCTGGAAGTCCTGTTGTCGCGAGGCACGTAGGTGCTGTCAGCACCACCTGGCGGCCCCCCCTCAGGAGAACGGCACGTGTCCTCGAACCTGGGACGGCTATGGCTGTTGGGAAGACACCAGACCGGACACTACCGTGTACAACAGTTGTCCCAGCTTCCTGCAGTTCTCCATCTCTTCCCGTGAGTGGTACATGTGTATGGCTGGTTTAGGACGTGTGTTTGATTTTTTCGGTTGGTCATTCGTTTAGTGGGTTTTGCTTTTATGTGTATTCAGTGAGAGGTAAGGTGTGAAGACAGATCTCAAGGAGAGTTTGGGAGCCTGTTTCATAGAAGATTGTGTTGATTGTGTTCTAAATTGGTTTTTTGTTTTGTACGTACGTATGTATGTTCGTTTGTTTGTTTGTTTGTTTGCTTAGGAGTGATGTGGATCAATTCTCAGGCTGGCGCCTGATCTTTTTAAAATATTTTCTTCGTTTGGTTGATTTATGTGTGTAGTAAAATTAGTTGCCAGCGACTGGAACATGTTTGGATACTAATGGTGTCGATGTGTTTCCCTTTGGCATAACGATAGTTGTAACAACGTCACGTTATGTATTTCCCTCAGTTAGCGCTCAAATGAATAACATGTTTATGTTACAGCCAAAATCCATTAGCGCCTATATCTATCGATCGCAAAATAAAAGTTACAAACATTTAGTAGTCAAATTATTGCTTCGATACGATACATAAGTAAACATTAATCGCAGATTTCCGGTGCAAACAAGAACAATCTGTTGCTGCTTTTAAGATTGGCCAGTGAACTACTAGAATCGTTTTTGAGAAAGTTTGTTTTTAAAGTGATTGTCCTCTTATTTCTTTGGTCACGCTTAAAAACGCCAATGGAAAAATGACATTCCTAGTACATGTATATCAATTGAGATTTCATTCTTAAGCTGCCCTCCCCTCGGCGTCAAACTTTATCTGGTTACAGATGGTAAATTATCATGAAATGTCGACCGATTAGACTAAATGCTTTTGAGAAGGGGGGCATCTGTTCGATGAAGTATTGGGAAGGAGTTGTCAGGTGAATCCAGTCAAGGGATTTCTTATAACTTGTGCCCCTTAAAGTTTCACAAAACAAAACTTTGAATGTGTGTTTGTGTTGTATGTGTGTTTGTTTTTGTTTTTTGTTTTTTTTCATAAATCAAGCTTCTTGTTTCGTTCGACATTAATTGTTGTGGTATCCGACATTGTTAAACACAGTTTGGCCATTTTGAAGGCAGTGAACATTTTCCGGTAGAGAAAATGAATATGCGGGGAATAAAAGGCAGTCAGGATACACCACAAAAAAAGATTAGGAGTGTTTTTTCGCAGTCTAGAAATGTAAGCTTTTCTTACATTAGAGTTTCTACACGGCCTGTCGGTGAGCCCACGGTCTGTATATTACCCAAACACCGTTTTCCCATTAATTAAGCAAAACATAAAATGGAGCGTGGAAAGGGGGGGGGGGATTCTTTGGCAGTAGTAGAGCGCCTACTCAAAATGATTTGACGACTTCTTAGCGACTAGCATTGCTCCCCAGGTAGCGCGAAGTCTTTATTTGGGCCTTTATCTGAAAATAACATAGTGTGCGTGAGTCAAAATCGGTAAGGCTTTAGATGACTTAAATTTTTTTTCACTTTGCTTCTTTGGCGTAAATTGTCATACTTAATTTGGTGAGCATAATTCTCACATTACCGGAGTTTATGCGCTACTGGAAGGGCCCTCGGTGTGCACTTGCGTCATCTGTATAACACAAAAAGAAGATAAGGGATACGTTATGCAAGAAAACGCAATATGCTTAAACTGTAAAGCTCTTATGAAAATGAATAGTTGCTTTGAAAACTTTAAAACTCATATTGATTGGTATGACGACCGTTACATGTCGTCAGTTCCAGAAGCCACAAGCTTAGTCTGTCGGCGAGAAAAGTAATCCCATTTTCTTGACCTCGTCAGCAGTCGTTACGTTACCGACAAATAATGTTCAACCCTATGTGTCCCAGCGGGTCAGTACAGAAGTAAGCGCCGTGTTTGTCTCCGAAGTATAATGCCATTGATCGGGAGATAATAGAATTAACCGGACCGAGGGGAAGCTCCTCTTGACGTCGCTCGAATGGTTGTGATGGCCTGGGGCGATGATGGGAGCAGACGGTGACGTATTTGTGTATGATCGATGATCTTACTTTGTGAACGGAGAATTTTATTAAATGTAAGGTTTTTGGTCAGTTTAAGTCTGTGGTGTGTACATGATGTAATTCGTCGTAAGGCATCGTGCAATACCACTCAACATCAAAGTTGAGTATTTGTAAAGACTAGATTTGCTTATTTTGTGTGGGATGCAAATTTACTCAAAAACACAAAAGCCGAACATTTCAACGTCGCCTTGCTTGCAATCTCTTTTTATGCTTTAGTCGATTGCGGCCTACCTTACATTCTGCAGAAATCGAAGAAAATTTTGAACGAAGTACACTTTTATCGTGGTTTGTGTTTTGTTTTCGATGCAGTTCAAGCAAATAACATTCGCATGAACTACCAGGAGACATTCTGAATCCTTTTCATGTCAGATATTTGCTGTAAAATCGCTCATTCGGAAGAGAGGAGCGCAGTCAAGAGTTTGTCTGTGTGCCAGTCGTGAAATATGTGCTCGTCACAAGTCTGGACACCGGCAGGAAGATGCCTGACGTCACTAGATTAAGTGCTCATCTGACAAGGCTTATGAAAGTCAACTTCCTCCTTGGCAACCTGAACTGATACATACAGAACATTATCTTACAAGAACTGCCACTACCTTGCACGTATCCCTCACTGTTGGTTGTAATGTTCACAAAGCTTTTCCCACTTTTATAACTATGTACGGTTATTTAACAGGCTCAACCAACAATTCATTGTCCTTCCCCGATACCATCGAAGCAAATGGATGGATAGCCATAAAAGCTTGGTAAAAAAAACTAAATTTTAAAAAATGTCTTGTTAAGGATTCGTAAACATCGCATAATCTCAGTTGACAACGTGTCTATCCAGATTGGAACAAGAGAGATGAGTTGTGTCCACCAACAGGGGTTTAATGTGGACAAAAGATTACTATACAAAGCACAGAACAGGTCATCTAAAGTGTCAGACACTTTTTATACCCCCCCTCCCTGGTCTACGCCCCCCCCCCCTTTCCGCTCATCCGATTTCTAGCCTCATCTTTTTTGTTTGCAAGACAAGTTCGTAACCTACCAGGTGACCACTAAATTTACTAGCTGTTGAGCTCAGAGCCGTAATTTTAACATCTCCAACATAACGAAAATATGACCACCATTAACAAAAATCCCAACCACAACAACCACAGTTACCACCACCAAAACCGCCGTTTTCTACAACAACCATAACTATGACCAACACAACTTACTTCTTCCACAACCACTGTTGCTACCATCACCATCACAACCTCAGCAACAACCACCACCGCCATTATCAACCAAAGGAGTACAACGACAGCAGTACTAGAAAGACATCATCAAAACTGAACACGTTACGAAAAATGTAACGAAGAGTAACTTCTTTAGCACCTCTGACTTCAGCATAACACTTTTCATATACAGAGATCCCAAGTTTAAACAAAGTATTGCGTCAAACCTAACCATCACATCCACCTCTTCTCGTGGGGATAATTTCCTTTTGTGACAGTTAATGACAGCGTTCATTTCTGTGGTACCACCCGCTAACTATTCCTGTGAGCTGAATACTCCCCAAACAAATTTTACTGGCTGTCGGAGATGCCATTCTCACTCTACGTGACATCGTTCTTACCCTCGAAGCTGTTGATGTAAGGAACAAATTGGACTCTCCGTCAACCATTTATAGAGTTTTTTCCAACTCACACAGTTCAACTCGGCTAACATGTTCTTTTTCGTCAGATAGACATAATCTGTGACAATCTGATTTTATGCAATCTTCAGAATCTTATAGAACTAATATCCCTGACACTAGTTTGGTAATAGTCTAGGGGCACAAAATGTCCAGTCAGTGTCATGACTGATTACACAGTGCAGATAACTCTGGCTCAGATAGTCAATTGATTCGTGAATTCTAAAATGTTGGTGAAGCAAAGATATAATAACTTCATTGAATCCTTATTTAGTTTGACAACTGCACTTCACAACCAGACTTGCCGACCCGACCATATCATTTTTTACCTGATTAGTTGAACAAGTTTAGAACCCACTTCTGTGGTGTAGTAAAGTTGTTCCACACAAGAGAATCCTGAGCTCTTTCTGGGACATCAAATTAGACCCCTGTTGACTCACTGGGGGTATACGAGAGACAGTTACATCAAGCACTGACTAAGTTTACTCTACAAGGTTTTAAACTATGACTATTGAATGAAGTAGAGCTCGCCAGGGGACTGTCTAGTCTTGTTGAATTCTAAAGTAGTGAAATGATTCCACTCGAGATGATGACCCCTGGGGAACTACTAGTCGTCAGTGAGACTTCCATCGTGACTTGTGTTTCAGGTACACCATTCTAATTTTTCCACTTACAAAAATCTTATTTTAAACAGTTACATAAATAGCTTACAGTGCAGCAGATCCTGGTTCCAACCTCTAATATGGTGTTCTTGCACTTAAGTTGTCTGGGGAGATTCCAGTACTCTTTACCCAGATGGCAGGCAATGTCGTAGACACACGTTGCAATTTAGAGATTCTGCCTCTAGAATACTGTCACATCGTGTAGGCGGGTGTTAATACAATCCCATTCCATCCCATACTATCCCATCCCATACCATCCCATCCCACTCCATACCATACCATAAAATACCATACCATACCATACTAGACCATATTATACCAGACCAGACCATACCATACCATACCATACCAGACCATCCCATCACATCCCATCCCGTCCCGTCTCGTCCAGTCCGTCCCGTACCGTACCGTACCATACCATATACCGTGCGTGTCGTGTGCACGACCCATTAGTAAGGTTTGCTGTTTGGTCGCCCGCTGGGAGTCTCTGATCACGTGCATGGTGCTGTCAGTCCCAGTCCGGCTAACAAAGGCTTCAACATCAGAACCAGGTCAGTGGCTAATGGTTTTCCCTTATCCCGAAGGGAGAGAGAGGCGTTTTCAGCTCTATTAATAATCTTGGGGGTTCAGGGTTTGCGTCCGCGGTCA